TCAGCATCGAGGTCCACTACGAGCACCACAAAGCCTGCAGGTCCATCAAGGTCCACTACACCTCTGTCGAGGTCTACTGCCAGATCTTCGACCCCAACTTCAAGAGCCTGTATTCCTCCTCCTAAAACTATATCGAGATCAGCCACACCAACTCGTCGATCGATTACTTCAGCAGCTGCACCTTCAACAAAGCCAACTATCTCCCAAGTCATGCCTTCTTCTCCAGTGGCAAAGCCATCTAAAATCCCCCCTTCACCTCGTGGAACTTCGCCAACAGCACGGTCCAGGGCATGGAAGCCATCAGACATGCCTGGTTTCTCGTTAGAAACGCCGCCAAATTTGAGAACAACGTTACCGGATAGGCCGCTTTCAGCAACGAGAGGCAGGCCAGGACCACCGAGCCTGCGTTCTGCTTCGGTTGAACCAGGTCTCACGGGAAGACCGAGACGGCAATCTTGCTCACCCTCAAGAGGAAGAGTCCCGATGCATCCTAGCGGAAGCTCTGTTCCTGCGGTTAGCCGTGGATATTCGAAGGCCAACGACAACGTCAGTCCAGTTGTGATTGGGACAAAAATGGTCGATCGAGTGATAAACATGCGGAAGCTTGGACCTCCAAGATTGGACAACGGTTCTTCTCCCCACAGCAACATGTCCGGGAAATCTTCATCGCCCGACAGTTCAGGATTCGGAAGGACACTATCCAAGAAATCCCTCGATATGGCGATAAGGCATATGGTATGTTTTTTTTTCCTATTCTCGCGCGTTATATATCTCATTCCGAAACATTTGTGGGGCTGTTTCTGATTACTGTTACCGAATTTCGAGCAGGATATACGTAGAACCATACCAGGTAACTTGAGACCGTTGATGACAAACATTCCGGCATCATCGATGTACAGCGTGAGATCGGGAGATTCTCGTACCCGGACAGTTAGTGTCTCGGATTCGCCACTCGCTACAAGCAGCAATGCCAGCTCGGATATAAGTCTTCACATCAACAACAACAACAACAACAATGGCCTTCTTCGCTTCGGAAGAGAAGAAGAAGACGTTGGGAGTGAGAGAGGCTGCAGATGATGTAATATTATTATTTCTCGCATTTCTCCCCTTTGTCTTACGTGATTTGTAATGTCCGAAAAAAAAAAAACACGTGGCCTAATTCGCTCGGGTTTTTTTTTACCATCATTGTGAATCTACACGATGTCAGAGCTTCTTCGAGGAACTGTAATCTTCGTGTTTCAATTCACTTTTGTGTACTAATTAAAGAGATATTGACTCAGCATTTGACCCAAATGACTGACGGATCAAGTGACTTGAAAAAAAAATCATCGTATTATAGTTTAAGGTTGAAATATTTTATCCAAACATTTGGATGGAATAACGTACAAGATCCGATAGAAACATTAACTAACTATATAACAACCAGACAGAACACAACATACTCTTCAGCAGCTTAACCTCACACGATTTAAGAAGCAATGACAGCATCCGTAGACTTGGCTTGTGGAACATTCTTGGGAGGAGTAGAGGCAGCAGCAGACGCCTCTTGTGCGGGTGGGGAAGAGGAGTTCAAGTGGGGAGGAGGGCTGTGCTTCAGTTTCAAGAGAATCTGTCTCATTCTTGCAAGATCGGTCGGCTTACCGGGTTTGGGCCCTTGGATCACTGCAATTGATGGCTTCTTTTCTTGTTCTTTCTTCCCTCTCCTCTTCTCTATCGCCGGAACCTCCTTTGGGACGAGCTCCGCTATTGCCTTCCAGTAGTTTTTGTTCGCCTCTGTGTAGAACTTCTTTTCGCTCGCCAAGAAGAGCTAATGCATTCAACAAATAAAAAGAAATGTAAAAGGGTTCAATTGATGTTAGTTAAACCCAATTTGGTAGACTCTGCTAATGGTTTATTGGGTGTTCAGTACACTGCATTTGAATTTCAATGGTCCAATATCATAATACTGAGCAGAATGCCAGGAAACATAGAATAACAAGTAGAATACCCATTTAATATGCAAAAGAGGTAAGAAATTTGACTTCCTACCCTAAGGAATCCGTAAATAGCATAAACCGTTTACATTATCCAGCCCTATTAACCCTCTAAGAAATGAGGACTGTTTCAAGATTCCACAAAATAAAATACAAGTTCCAATTGACTACCAATACAGCGGTCGCCATGAATACGTAAAGTCTCATTGTGCAGATTGATAATAAATGGTCAAAACCTAAAAACATTCAATCAAGAAGAGGGAGAGTTCAGTTGTATACAGGAAGAAAGGAGAGTAGATATCAAGAAGGCACCTTTTCCTTTTCTCTGTTAGAGGCTTTGTTGTTTTCACAGGTAACTTCTCTCTTCTTATAAAACTCGGACTTGTATTGATCCGCCTCCTCGATGATTTGGCTCAGCAGTTCCTTCTCCCTCTTCTCCTTCTCCTCGAGCTTAATAGCATTCTGTCTGCACACAACAATAATCACGCCTTTCAATCCTGAAGCTGAACAGACAATGCTTGTAGTATGGAAGAACTCCGAGCAGCGAGATCAGATATAAACACTCAAATGGCATCACACTCATTACAAGCTATAAGATCAAACTCAACAGGTAACTATGACACCAAAGGGGTACACGATCTACGAACAAAACCCAGATGGCAAAGATCTAGGCAGAAACCCTAAACCCGGAATCAGCATAAACCTAACATCGGATCAGATCAAGCAGAATTGCTTACTCGTTAAAAGAAACTATACTAGACAATCAGTGAACACGGATTCGCCTAAGCCAACACCAACGAACAGAATCTCGCAACAAGTCGTGATCGAAATGCCTCGGATAGGAATAGCATTCGAAACTTCTCCCGCACAAACACATCGACAATTCTCCAGCAGGAAAAGTTGGAGAAATCTACCGAATTCACCCGATTTCCAAGAGGAAACAAGTACAATGAGATCCGATTGCAGTAGATCTAACCTTCTCCATTCCCTGAGAGCGAAACCCTCATCCGACGCCATCTCCGAAGGAGGTGGAAGAACAGGACCGTCGGATCCGGCGTTGGATCCAAATACTCCGTCGCCGTTCGAGTACCCACCGAAGTCAGGAGACGGCGCCGCGAAGACATCCTCGGCAGAGCTCTCCACTGGAACCGAGCCGTCATAGCCGGAGAAGAAGCTGTCAGTGGCGTCGAAGGAACTGGTCACCGGGACCGACTCGGCCGAGTCATCTCCGAGTATGACGAAGGAATCGTCGGAAGCAGACATCTTCTCTACTGCGTACAGGCAAAAAGCAATACCTTTTCCTTGCTCTCTTTC